CGGTTGACACCCAACAGTGAGTAATTATATCTTATTTATTTCGATATTTTGTATTTATATATACACAAAATAATATTATATAAATATATTTATATATAAATATATTTTTTCGAAGATATATTTCGAAAATATATTTCGATATCGATATATTCGATATATTCGAAGGGCGTTCTAGCCACTTGCTGTCCAATCAAAATGCGCACGTGCGGCCCGCATTAGCGAAGCAGCAACGAAGCGCAGACGCATTCTTCGACCGCCGCGAACCGCTGTTGTCGCACAGTTTTCCTTTGGATCTCGAAGGAGTTAGTTGTTTTTCTTCTTGTGATTTACCCTTTTTCTATCTTTTTCTATCTACCTCTCTCTCTTTCTCTTATACTCGTTCTCTTTTTTTACACACTCTCTAACTCTTTCCCTTTTTGTTTTTTTTTTTTTATTTCATTTCAATCCTTCATATCTTCTAACCATTTTTGCCGAGCAAATCTGAAGAAGAGGAGAAGGAAAATTTTTATTCCATTTGACCTTGAACGGAAAAGAAATTTTTATAAAGAATTGCGATAGGTACATATAAACACACATATATATATATATATATATATACAAACACACGCATACATACGAGTACACACGCGTGTATATATATATTTTACATACACGTACGTATTCACACACGAATGATATTTCGCATCGCGTTCGCGCGTACTCTTCTTATTCTCAATCTCAATAAAATACGCACACGTGCGCAAACTCGCCCGCGCGCGCACTACCAACTAACAAGAGTTACACATACAGATAAATATTTAGCTCGTAAATCATAGAAAGTAAAGACGAGAGCGTAATAAATATATATCTAATTGTGGATTGTTCTAACTAGTATTATTATTATTATTATTATTACCATTATTTCTATAAGAACAAGAAAATCTTTGAGGGAAATAAAAGATGGATCGAACGTCAAAGTTACTTTTACGAAAGGTCATCATCGATTTTGTCTGCTTATTTATCGGTAAGTGATTTGAGATTATTATCATAAAACTATAGATAAATTA